ATGTCCATAACAATACAACTCCTTTTCTATATAGCACCATTTTGTTTTGGAGTATATAACATCATTTTCTGTCGATGAATCCCATTATCTTGACAGAACTTCCTAAACAATTTAGATGTGTACTCGCACCCCATATCAAATCTTAGAACTTTAATTCTCTTCCCTGACTAGCTCTTAACCTCCTACTTAAATTTCTTGAAGCAATCTATTGCCTTGGACTTATGTGAGATTAAGTACATATAACTATAGTGCGTGTTGTCATCAATGAAAGTAATAAAGTACTGGAATTTGTCCCAAGCCTTCACATTAAATGGACCACAAATATCCTAGTGCACCATTTCTAATGGTTCTTTTAATCTTTGGGCAACAAGAAATAGCTTTCTATTCGATTTGCCCATCAAACAAGGTTCACATGTGGTAAATCTACTTTGATCAAGGATTGTAATATCCTTCTTTTGTTAATCTAGTCATCCTATCTTTACTTATGCACCTCAATATATTGTGCCACCATGCACAGGAAAAGAAAGAGAATGTGAGCGGGATTACACACCAACAACAACAAAAAAAGGAGAAGAAGAGGAAGTAGAACAAAACAAGCTTCCATATCCAAAGCAAGAAGTCCATCAACTAGAAATCCATCAAAACCTGAATTATTCTTACATTTGATTTCTACTTTATTACTAAAAGAAAAATCAAATGTCTTCTTAAGAGAGTCGGGACACTGAGAGTAAGCTCCTTCTCATCTCAAGAGCATAGAGAATATCACAGAGGAATAGAGAACATCGCAAAAGAGTATGGTTCAACTAGATCAAAATTGTAACCAATAGGCACCCATGCCCACCACAACCTCAGTGGTGTTAATCCCCAGGAATATATTCATGTCTCTCCCTGGAATTCAATGAAGCTCTTTAAACCCATTGGCATCCTTTGTTATGTGTTTCTCTCATGAATCCACAGTCTAACCATTAGAAAGTGGATGCAACTAGCACCTTTGTTCATACACTAGCAAATTAAATGGAATGGGAGGTTCGTACTTTCTTCAGATCAGTGCATTCACGAGCGAAGTGACAGATATTCCTGCAATTAAAGCAACTCAATGCTAACTTGTCCTTGGGAGCATTGCGCTTGCCCCCCTTTGCTTGGCACTCTTTCCTTTAGTATACCTTCAACATTCATTTATTCTTGCTTGGAATGATTGTTGGCATCCTAAGGCTTGCCCTTGGATTTACCCCCCCCCCCCCTCCCCGCTCCCTTAGGCTTACAGGATCAGGATTTACACCTCGCTCCCTTAGGCTTACAGGATCAAGATTTACACCCCGTTCCCTTAGGCTTACAGGATCAGGATTTACACCCCGCTCCCTTAGGCTTACAGGATCAGGATTTACACCCCGCTCCCTTAGGCTTACACAGCTTGGTCAACATAGCAAGCCTACTTACATTAGCACAGTGACGCTTAGCCTCCAACTCAAGATGATGAGCAAATATCTTAATATTTTCATTATGTGTTATCATAATTTTTTCATGTTCTCCCATGATTGAGGAAGTGACCTAAGGATAGTCATAATATGTTGCTCGTCACTTGGCACATTGCCCGCAGCATTTAGGTCACGTATCATCTGTGATATTTTTATGAAATGCTCCATCATGGATATATTTGGTGGCATTCTGTATGCCTCGAATGCCAGCCTGAGTGTGCACATCCAATGGTTGAGGTGCCAGCGAAGTGAAACTACAATGTTTACCACATCTCCCTGATCGTCAGATAAATCTTAAACTGCCCAATTAGGTCGTGTTGCATGTTGCTTTACATGGTAAAGCATGCACAACTGTCCCTTTTGAGCCATGCTTGATATGCTTCTACTTCGCGACGTGCCTCTGCCAAGTTCCCTTCCTCGGGAGGAGGGGTCAAGTGTTCAAACACACATTGTTCCTTAAGCAAGTATCGAGGTATAATTCTTGCTAACCAACTTTTCTCCTCTGAGGTCGGTAGTCACATTCTCAAATGCTGTTGCAATCTATATCTATGAGAAGATCGTAGTTGCATGGATGATTTAGCTTGCTTATACATGGTTACACAATCACATTAAATCTCACACTCTCTTTTATAAAGATTAAGATGGTCAAAACTCTAAAATACTCGAATTGAAAATTTCGCATAGCTACACTAGCCAATACTAGTAATCATCACGAATGCCCCTAGACCACAATTGATGCTCATGGGGATTATAAATGCGCCGAAAAAATCAAGAAAGGCATGAAAAACTCCAAGCAAAAAAATGATTTTAGAGGAGATCCATACTTTTCCGAATCGATTAGTTTTCTCGATGCAAAAGAGACTACCATGTGGTAATCCAAACACGACAGTGATTCTTTAATCCATGCATGACTTTCAGATCCGAGACTAAACTCTATTGAGTCGGGAAAAAAAATGACTAGATCCAAGATCAAACCGCCATCATGAATGCTCTAATAACAATGTTGGATAACATGTAGACATCTCGAAGCAACGAAACCTCAAATAAAACTTCAAATCAATAAGGCCGAACTATCTGCCTTGTTGTGTGGATTAAAAGTGTTGAAAGAGAGATTTTTGTTGTATGGATTAAAAGGGTTGAAAGAGAGATTTGAAGGTATGTGGTGTATTGTGGAAGGGGATTTTCTCAAATGTGATTAATTGGTGCAAGAGGAATTGGAGGCCCCCCCGGCACTCAAATCTCTTTGGATGGAAATCACGGACTTACTCGCTAGTTTACAACTTAATTTTCATCACGTTTATAGGGAGGGGAATCATGTTGCTGATTCCTTAGCAAAACGTGGAGTTCTTAATGCTCACTTTGTAATTAGCAAATCTCTTCCGTTGTAAATGTAATTATCAATAAAAGCTTATGATCTGGTCAAAAGAAAAAACAAAAAAAACTTCAAATACACATATTGGATGGAGGCTACGCGCCTTGTGCTGGATCTGATCTCCCTTTTGTGTGTCGAGAGTTTGACGCTGCCGTTTTTAGTCACCCTTTTTTTATTACAAGAATCAGGAGGAAAAATTTTATAGCCCAAATCCCCGCACCTTGGTAAAGGGCTCGAGAGTTCTCACATACCTGGAGGGGATCTGTAGGACTAGATGGGAACGAAAGAACTATGAATGGGGATGTAGGTCTGTTCCTTGAAATGAGAAGCCTATATCCTTCTCTCTTTACAACCTCTTTTATATAAGGGGGTCCCACTCCCACAAGTGGTTATCCAAATAACACCTAGGGACCACAATATCTATCCAAAGAGATTCCATGTTTCCTAAACCATAAAAACCAAAGCAACACCTAGGGGTGGACCTCCCAAGTCCAACAGTATCAAAGGGTGGGTTGGATTTCCATTTAAAAACAAAGAAATTGACGCAATTGCAAGAATACAAATTTCCTAATAGTATCCTCATGTTTCCATATGGCGAGCAAATGCATTAATCAGGACTAACTTACCGATGGAGAAAAAGGAAAAGAAGAAATTGGAATCAGATAAGGTAAAAGAAAGAAAACTGAAAAAAAAATGCATAAAAGACCCCCCAAGTTTAGTGCCCAAAATGAAGGGGGGCAGGTTTCTCCTTTGAATTGAAGGGAAACTTACAAAAGTCGTCAATGGGCTCTGTAGGACCCTTAAATAAGCAATGAAGGCTCTCTGCATTAGGAAGTTTCAGTAAAGTAGCAACAATGGGTCGTTGGTTTGGCAAGAGGATGGGACCGTTAGGACGAGCGAGTGCAGAGTTTGTGGCTTTTGAGGAATGGGTACATGTCCTAGCAAAACCATGTGAGCTTCACACTTTTGGCAAAGAAAGATTGCATCCTAATATATAACATTACTTTTGCAAAGAAAGAGTGCATCCTAATATATAACATTACTTTTGCAAAGAAAGATTGCATCCTAATATAAACTTTTTTCCATATGGGATATCTAAACCATTTGAAAAACAATTGGAAACGGGGAAAAACCCATCCTTTTCTTTTATTTTATTTCAAAGATAAGCTGGGACCTAGTGAGAATAAAGCTCTCATTGTGATAGTTGCCACTCCAAACACCCATCCTCATATCCTCCACGGAGAATGAGTTTCTTGTGTCTTGAGTTCACGCGTTTGCATAAAGCTTGATGGAATTCATTGGCAATACAGAAGCCACTTCCAAACAGCCCCGTATGTTATATATATGGAGATCAATCGTCGAACCTTTTCTATGAAGCTGTAATTGTACGTACTTCTGTAGAGAGAGAAACACGGATGGGGACTTAAATTGGAGAAATGCTAGATCCAATTTGTGAGATACATCAGATGCTCTCTATAAATACCAGAGCTTAAGGTTGGCAATGGGTAGGGTGGCTGGACCCAGCCCTAAAAAACTTGGGCTTAGGCCACGAAATGCTGCTCAATGGCTGCGCCATGGCCAGGAACCAATGACGGTACGGCCCGGCTGGGCACTCTTTTGTTTTCTATTTTTTACTTTTTATTTTATTTGGCCCAGCCCAACCCAGCCTGGCCTGGAAAGGGCTAGGGCCAAAGCATTTTTTGCCCTGTTAGGGCCGGGCCAGGCCAGGCCTATGGGAAGCACAGCTGGGCTGGGGCCAGGGGACAGCCGGGCTGATTGCCACCCCTACTAGAGCTCAGACTGCAACTACAGAAATCAAGAGCTGTGAAAACACATTTTATGACGATTAGGAGATGGTGTGTATCCACTTAGAAAGTGTACTAATATGAATCTCCTCCTTTGCCTATTTGTTAAAATGAAGAATAACAATGGAAATTTTCCTAAACCGAAAATTTGGCTAGTGCAGTTAAGAGGCTATTTTATGTAGAAGTTTCTACAACAAATACCAAACGCATAACAATGATAATTGTATAGCCCAAGTACTTTTTCAGAGAGGGACACAAACCATGTTTATAGCTCTTCAGATGAAGCACTCAGAGAAGAGAGAATGACCTACATTTCCAATAAACACAGAGCCATATTTACAATGAAAATAGAGACAATGAGGCCACCCTAAAGGCCAAGAAAACATTTGAGATTTGAATAACTCTGGTCAAGGAATTATCGTCACACAATAAATCGACGAGAACCTACTCCAAAGCAATAATACAATAAGCATAGTTAGCATATAACTCTCTATCTACAAATAATTCATAAGTGCTTGTTCCCAAGCACTAACATGAGCAGAATCTTTATCATGACTGGGAATAAAAGGGGAGACTGATTATTAATACGACAATCAGTGTGGCCATTCCCAAGCAACACAATAGCCAGTATAGTTATCATCTCTCTCTCTCTCT